ATGTAGTGGTTCCATTGCTAATTAACTTTGACTACATGAAAATTTGTTTCAAATACTTGAGTTTTGGTGGAAGCCCCAAATAAGTTGGTTGTTATAAGAGCCTTTACCGCCCTATTCATCATATAGCAAAATTTCCTTCATCTATGAGCTTGTGGTTTCATTTTCTTTTTTATTTCTTTCTATATATATATATTATTTCTCTAATTTAATTAAAATTAATAACAATGATTTCATTAATATTAATTTACTCACAATTTTCACGTACTATGTCAACAATGTCGGTCTAAAAATACTACCTAACAAGTACCAAATGAAAGATAATGCACTGAGCATGTCATCAATGTGGGTCTAGGATGTTAGTTGATGTAAGGAATTAAATGAGGGCTTGATTTGCTTGATTCAAAGAGTACAGGGACTTCAGCTCCTCCCCCCTTCTAAAGAAAAACAAAAAGGATGGGTACTGTTATTATTTCAGAGATATCGGTAAAGACTAAAGAGGCTGATTTGAGAACTTAATTTGTCCTTTTTTGTGAAAGAAAAATGTTCGAAACCGAAATCCAACGCCCACCATTACACGCCATTTCCTCTAGGCCCTCCCCTGCTTGGACCGCTCTAGACATGTCACATTCATTGAATTTTTTTTTTTTTTTGAACATGAGAAAATTTTTGGTAATAGATGATTTTTTTTTAAGTAGTTGATGGAAGTTAAATTTTTTATTAATTAAATTTAAGTATTAAGATTTAAGGATGAATCATTAGTTTCTAAAACTCGGTTCTTGTGACATTCATTGATTTATTGGACCCAAATGTATAAATATGAATTAAATCCATCCAAAATTATGATTATAACCACACTAATAATTGTTAAGAGTTAAGGGGGCTTAAACTATTATATATATATATGTTAGAGTGTTTAAAATTATTAATTTATAATTAATGATTTAATTATTTAGTGGTAATTTTCTTCTTATAAAAATAAAAGATTTAAATTCAAATAATATAATATCGAGTAAAGTAGATTTAGAAATTTTAAAAAAAATCATTAGATAATTTAAAATAAAAAATTTAATTTTAAATTATTAAATAATATATATTAATTAATCTATTAATTATTAACTATTCTTTAACAGATAAAACAAATATAACTATAGTATTTTTCCATTCCTTCAACAGTTATTTATGTGAGTATAACAATAGCTGAAAATTTGCTTTCATTTGTCTTCTTAATTAAAATATTGTTGCACTATTGTAACTTGTAAGTTCGTAACACCCGCCTCATAAAAAAAAAAAAAATCATTCCGACCAAGGAAAACATTGACTTGACAGAACTTCAAAGCAATGCTCTATGGACATATAATCAACTTAATTGATCGTCTCGCTGCCTTCATTATGTATATAATATCTAGTTTGTGCTTATTAAAAATAAATATTTGCGAGAGAAATTAAACTATCAACATAAAGTTGCAAAATACATCATTAGTGAATAAAATCAAATTATTAATAAGATAAACCTTAGAAGAAGGCGTGCCGGTTTAGTAACCCAACAGTTTAATGTAAGTTTTCTTCACCATGATAAGAGTTATCTCCTTCTCTACTCTCTTTTCCCGAACCATTTGCCCTAATAAAAAAAAAAAAGAAAAAAGAAGATAAACCTAATTTTTCGATCATTAATTTAGGTGTCAATCTCACATGACTACAACATAAAGTTGCTGGTCATGATGGACTTATCAAAGTTCGTTCAAGTCATATTGTATCTCAAAATTCTCCCCATCTCTATGAAACATAGGTCCTTGCTGCTCCTTAGATGAAAAACCACTGCTGACTGCTAGTTGAGTTTTGTTCTTTGGCCTTGCACCAAGGTTAGGCACATATCTATGTTGGTTGAAGGGCGAGGTAACCTAAATAAAGAAAAGGAAAACCTAAAGAATAGAAGATCTAAGTGAGTAGAACAGTTTTCGTTTTGCATATTTTCAAAGTCGAACCAACTCTTGAGGAAATTGAAGGAAACACACATGTTTTTGCATGGTAGAAGGAACACTCTATTGCCCAGGCAATAGTTAATATCAAGTTCGTTTTCCTGTTTCTAAAGGTTACCAAGAAGAACGACTTGAGTATTTTTACTTCAATCTCGGCAAAAATGTTGCATTTGGGGCAAAAGAGGCTGTCTTAAGTAAGCAAGAAATGCCGACTGAATTAAGTTTAGCGGAGAAGAAACATGAGAGCATTCGGTCATTGCTAGAATCGAACATGCCTAGGGAGTCCCCCAGTGCGAGTAAGAAACATGAGAGTGAAACAGGTTCGTGAGGAAGCATGGATGCCCCAGATTCAACACCAGTTTCCGATAAGACAGTTTCAGAGATTCTGGACCAAGAAAATGCTTCTGCTAAACAATTATCATTTGATCAACCAGAGCGTGACCATCATAAAAGAAGTGAAGATGTGGTTGCCTCTGCTAGAGAACACTTTTTGGCATGTAAGAGATCGAAAGAGCAATAATTACTTGCTCACTACGACATTTAGAACCAATGGAGATAGTAATGTCTTGTATAATCAACTCTACTGATATTTGTCTTTTGCTTGAATCTGGTGAGATTTTTACTAGCCAAGGGGTTTGATTCTGATTGTTTTTTGCCCGAAGAACACCACAAGGCTTCAAGCAAAGGCTCTGTCACTAAACAGTATGTCAATAAGATATTTAAGCATTTCATTTTTCTCTTTTATTTTTTCTTGTCTGCTTTTAAATTTATCTATTGATTGCTCCTTCAGGTGGAAAAGGAAGAATAAAGGGTTTATGATCAAGTAAAATGCCAAATATAGAATAACAGAGAAGAGTTTTGTTCATTTGCAGCAAAATGGAATTGACTAGGGACAGAATTCACTGATCCAACAAAAATTACTTGTATGCTTTGATTTGAATACCGCCTACAGCCTACTATGGGCAGTGGTTTCCCATGAAAGAGTTACTTGTATTTCTACTTCGATTCCTATCATCTTTTGAGAACCACTGACCTCGTCCTATAGTTCTATAGGATGGATTTTCATTTCGCTTCCATGTAAACTGCATGCTCTGTGTTGAGCCATCTGCTGATGGTGGTGCTGACTGATTTTGTCCAGTATTTGGCCTAATGTGGTGGCTTGACTCTGATACTTTCAGATGCTCCATGCCTCTGCCAACTCTCCACTGATCTGCAGAATTGTCTAAACTTCTGTAAGTGCTTGGCCTGAGAGGGTGAGCATTTGGAATTCTAGGATACCAGCTTCTACATCCGCCAAAAGATGTACCACTGAAATGAGTTGTTGTTGAAACTTGTCCCGTTTGTTCTCCTACATAATGATTAGTCCTTCCCCTACCCCTACCCCTACCCCTACCGCTACCCCAGTCAGATCCAGTAACAAACTTATGAGTCTCAGTCCTCCTGTCTGATATAAACATCTTGGTCTTCTGATTTTGAGCTAAACCAGAAGTAGAGCTGGAAGTAAAACTTGAGGTACTATTCGTTCTTCTATATCTTTCTTGGCATAATGGTCTGCAATTTGATACACACTTGCTCCATTAGGGCCTAAACAAAAAGGAGAAAAGCCAAAGCAGGTTTTGAAATTTGAATCAACAAAATTAACAGACCTGGATGGGGGTTTGCTTCTTTTGTCTTCATGCCACAGAATCGTTTGTTGTATGTCAGCTTCAGTTAATTTCTGCTCAACAGGTAAAATTACTCGTTAGGTTCACCAAAAAATCATCCAGTACCAGTTAGAAAATAGAGAAGTCTCTTTTTAATTTTGTTTTTTCCAAGCTTTTTTTATTTAATATTAAAGAGTATAACATACCATTTCTGGATATTGCACTCCTTCTAGAGGACGAGGAAGATGCCTGGATACATTAGGAAGCTGAAAATGCAAACTTCTGTGTAGAAACAATACGAGAGCAAATGTCAAACAATGAAAATATATCTGATTGTTTGAAAAGAAACGTCAATTTGGCTTACATGATGTTCTTTTCTTGAATATGTGAAAAATTGCCATCACATAAACTCACTAATCCACCAATTCCACTGCTGTGCAGGTTATTCAATGAACTGGTTTAGAGATCAGCATGACAATATAAAAAGGATCATAAAAACCAAAGCATGAAATATACATTGAGACTGACCTTAAAATAGCATCGACTCTCACCAATTCATGTTGGCCCCTAGAGACCAGCTTTGGGAGAAGTGACCTAACTTTAGATTGAGCCACGAAGAGTTGATCAACTTTTTCTGAGTTTCTTTCACTCTCATCCTTCTATAAAATGGAAATAAATAAATAAATAAATAAATATATATATATGTAGAGAAGCTTGAGTCTGAACAAGGTTGATGAATTCTGTTGAATCAAATAAGTAGTCTTCTACCGTTAATTCCTTCTCAACTCTTTTGGTCTCAGACAAAATCCGACCTTCATCTATAAACGGAAGTTTACATATTCCCTTCACAAACAATTAGCATTGTTAGAGAGTTGAAGAAAAAAATATGCATGAAACAATTTCTTCGCGATTGAACAAGAGTAATCAGAAAGTCAGCCAACCTGCCATATGAAGCGCTTTCCATCTGTATCAACTTCAAAATCTTCCCAAAAATGAGCAAACCCAAGGATTAGATTGGTATACAATAAGACACACAATCCAAAATAAACAACGCAAGGCATACCATTCGGGTAGAAGTCAATAATGCTTGAAGTCTCATCAATCATTAGTCTTGCATACGGTTTTGGAAGGGCATGGGCACTACATAAGATAAAGCTTTCACTTAAGATAATTACTTTGACACATTGAAATCAATATCATAAAAGAAAGGAAGCATGGCAACCATGGCAACCTTCTAGATGGCAAGACACCCATGAGCAGATCAAAGGGCTTAAAAGGATGA